AAAATTCAAATATTAAATATTGATAATTGATATTTTCAATATTGACCGTTGAAAAAAGATCAACCAGATCAGACCAGAACGGCAACTTTTCCCCCAAAGACTCACCGATGTAGACGGGCCCGTAGGCGGAGCTGACGTTCTCGTCCAGGTAGGTGACCCCCAGGGTGTACAGCGGGGTGGCGCCCATTCCGTGGAGGAACTGGCCCAGCATGAAGACGAACCGGTACCCGGACAGCGCCCCCCCGCCCCCGCCCCCCCCCGCCCCCCCCACCGCCGCCCGCCCGGTCCCGGCACCCCTGGGTCCTATTGGCCGAGCACATCCCGGTGCTCTGGGGCGGGCCCACCTGGTAGGGCGGCGTGACGAAGTGGGGCAGGGCGAAGACCAGCGATCCCAGGGCCATGATCAGCACCCCCCAGCCCAGCCAGCGGGGCTTGTGGCCCGTCCCGCCGAAGTAGCTGACGAAGACGAGGCACACGCAGGCGGCGATGTCGTAGGAACTGGCCACCAGGCCGGCCTGGTAGCTGCGCAGGTCGAAGCGCCGCTCGATGGAGGTGACCACCGTGTTGATGAAGCCGTTGACGATCATGCCCTGCAGGAAGGAGGCCGCGCAGAGGAAGAACAGCACCCAGCGCGGGGTGTTGAAGGCCTGGGCCGAGCGGGGGGTCAGGGCCCCCCAACCGCAGAGCTGGGGGGGGTCAGCGGGGGTATCCAGGGTATCCAGGGCCGTAGACGCCCCGGTGAAGATCCTGGGTGGGACCATTGAAACATCGGTCGGGGGGTTACCGGGGCTACCGGGATCAGACCCCAAGGGGCTAGCCGTTTGGGAGTCCCCAGGACTGGGGGTGTCCAGGCAGGCCCCCCCGCCCAGAGGACAGTCCTGGAGGTCCAGGAGCTCCTGCTTGGAGCTGAAGGAGGCGTCGGCATTGAGCAGAAACGGCATCCCCCCTCCGAGGGGGGAAAACCGGAAAACGGGGGGAGTCCGGGGCAGAGAGGGATTTGGGGATTCGGGGATTCGGGGGGGGGGTGATTCTCTGTCGTCAGGCAGCAGTCAGACGCATCCCCCTGATTAACGCTTTAAAGCCTGATCCAAGAATAAAACAAAACAGAAAATTCCTTTTTTTTTTGTTTGCATTCCTTATTTGGCATTTTAACAAAATATGTAAAAATAAAACACATAAATACATTTTTGATATTAATAATCTATTACAATGCGATAAGTCAAGAATATTTTTTGTGTAGTCTTCTGCCCCCTGTTATCAGGTGTATCTGATTGTGTACAATAGGATTTTGAGCAAAGTTTTTACCATTAACTCATTGACTGCCAGCCATTTTCAGAACAGAGAGTCCCATACTGCCAGAGTTTTTTGAGCATTTTGACTGAATTTTCAAGAGCCACAGAATAGTTTGTGCTATGACTATGTAAACACCGAACACACCAAAAGAAAGAGTAGACTCTCTTCTTGCATCAGGAAAAAAAAACTCTGGTTGAAAAACATAAAAGACGTCTATAGACGTCTTTGGCAGTCAATGAGTTAAATTATGCAAAAGGTGTCAGAGACGCAAAACATTTCATAAACCGTATGATTCAAATATGATACATTTGGCATTACAGGCTTAAAGAGTCTCACACCAGCTTCTTCCCCAAAGTGCTGAGCGTCCCGTGAGGCTCTTCAGGTGCTCTGGCTCATGGGCGGGCGGGGGGCAGCGGCATTCTGCGAGCAGGAAAAAGAAGAGAGAGAGGGGGCGGTTAAAAAGGCTGTTATCCCCAGAGCTTCTCTGAAATGAGTTATCCATCAAGTTATAGGGGTCTTAGGGACGGGGAGCGTTGGGCCAGTGTGTCGTCTTGTATGCATGAGTGTGGATGTCCATCCATCCATTATCAATACCGCTTATTCCCTGATGGGGGGGGGGGGGAACTGGAGCCTATCCCAGTGGTCAACGGGCGAGAGGCGGGGTCACCCTGGATGGTCCGCCAGTCCATCGCAGGGCCACACAGAGACACGCAAGGACCAACAACCACACACACTCACATTCACTCCTAAGGGCAATTTCCCCAATCTCCAACAACCTAACATCAGCCTAACATGCAGGTTTTTGGACTGTGGGAGGAAGCCGGAGAACCCGGAGAGAACCCACGCAGACATAGGGAGAACATGCAAACTCCACCCAGAAGGGTCCTGGTTCCCCCGGGACTAGAACCCAGAACCCTCTTGCTGGGAGGCGACAGTGCTAACCACCACACCACCGTGCCGCCCTGGAGTGTGGATGTGTTCAATTGAATTCAATTGAATTCAATTTTATTTATATAGCGCCACATCACAACAACAGTTGTCTCACAGCTTTCCAAACAGAGCAGGTCAGACCCTACTCTGAAGATAATTACAGAAACCCAACAATTGTTGTTTGTCTTGTCTTTGTTTTTTCTTTACAGGTCTTGGTGAGTGTCCCTGGGATGAGCGGGAGGGGATTGGACACGCATAAGCTTTGGCTTCTTCCATCCCCTTTTCAAGCCATGCATTTGTATCGTTTGTCACTATATGTATTCTAAAATATGTGCAGGTTTGAAATAAACTTTTGAAATTGAAAAAATTGAAATTGAAAGTTATAAACGAGGACCGGTAAATTCGGATGGTTGTGAATGCGTCGAGGCCAAAAGCGGTGCACCCAAACCGGTGAACATCTTCTGGATGGTCTTTAGCCAGAACAGTACATAATCTGATCATGGAGGGAAGGATTCCTAACCCTAACCCTAACCCTAACCCTAATTCAGAACCGGTCGCATGCAGAGAAACCTGCGTGCAGTTAAACTTAACTCTTTAAAGCCTGATGCAAAAACAAAATAGAGAGAAAATTGTACTTTGTCTTATTCTGAAGTTTTTATATGGCCCTTTGACAAAATATGGAAAAAAAACAAAAATCATTTTTGAATTGATCACTTATTACTATCCCATAAAGTAAAAAATATTGTTGTGTAGTCTGTTATAAAGTGTATCTGATTGTGTACATCCATCCAACCATTATCGTTTCTCCTTATTCCCTATTGGGGTCGGGGGGCGGGGCCTATCCCAGTAGCCAATGGGGAGAGGCGGGGTCACCCTGGACGGTCCCCAGTCCATCACAGGGACACACAGAGACACACAAGGACCAACAACCACACACACTCACACTATGGGCAGTTTGGAGTCCAAACAACCTAACATGCAGGTTTTTGGACAGTGGGAGGAAGCCGGAGAACCCGGAGAGAACCCACAGACACAGGAGAACATGCAGAACCACCCAGAAAGGTCCTGGTTCCCCCGGGACTCCAACCCAGAACCCTCTGGTCCTGGTTCCCCCGGGACTCCAACCCAGAACCCTCTGGTCCTGGTTCCCCCGGG